TCTCGTCGAAGTGACGCGTCTCGCGGAGCGCGCTCAGCACGGCGGCGTCGACGCGCAGCTCGCCGCCCTCGGGCGTCTCGTACGCGCCCGCCGTCGGCAGGCAGCAGCCGCGGTGCGGCGTGTAGTGCGACGGCCCCAGCACGAAGAAGCGCCGCACGCGCCGCCGATCGATCTGGCGGTAGGCGTGCGCGCTGCACGAGCCGGAGTACTCGTAGCCGGCGTGCGGCACGATGAGCGCTCGCGCCGGCGGCGGCAGACGCGCGTCCGCTTGATCCAGCCACGCTTGCAGGTCGGCGGACAATTTGCGCGGATCGCCGGCGTACCAGTAGCCGCGATGGCTGGCCCTTCGCAACATATTCCGAAGAGCGCACTGCGGCCGCACTGGCGGAGTGGAGCACTAACACTGTGGCGGGTGAGGACGACGACGTCGTGGGAACCAAACAGCGCCCCGCCGAAGCGCTGGAGCGGCGGTCGACGCCCAGATTATGCTACGAGGTCATTATGCGCGTCCGCGGGCAGATGTGCGACACGAGAGTTTTTTGGGTGTTTAATTCGGCTGGTGTGCGAACCGCGCGTTTTTAATGCGCTGTCCCGCAATGGCGATAAATTTAGACGGCGAAGGCAAAACAATCGATTGTTATGACATGCAAGCCGCGTTATGACTATGCGGCGTGGACGACGCGCGCGAGCTTGCCTGCCGCACCACCGCCGCCGCCGCCACTCGGTGTGCCTGACCTGAGACGCGCTCAAAGCGGCCCGCTCGACGCCATATTGGTTGCCAATAGCGACATACACATGTCGAACATTCACACTTTTTACCATTATTTTATGTAACATCAGTTAATTATTTATTTGACCAAAAATTTACTTGACCTCATCATAAACATCATTTAATTTTGATGATAGCCCAACCTAGTCGAAATTGGCAATTGGAATGATTGAATTTCGTTTCCAATCACTGCCTCGCTTCTATAACTCGATCAACCCGCTCACTCCACGCTCCAAAACGTTCAATAATGCCCAACCATGCTTGAATACAATCTCCACCACAAAGGCAAGCAGTGAATTTACCTAAAATATAGTTCAAAGTTTAATAATTGTAATACTAAACTGTTTTGCAAGCAGAAGAAGATTTATTTTCATTCCACCAGCGCCAGTTTCGACAGTTTTTCCCATCCATTAACATATCCGGGAGGTCGAAATGGGTCAAGGCGAACAGACGCACACACAATTGTATGTGTTGCGTGTAGAAGCAAGCGCAACAGACGTAGAACGGTGTACCTACACTTTGAGGGCGGCTGTGCGCGCGTTACATGTTGAATGCTGCGGGGATGTGGGTATTGCTCCAGAGACCCGAAATAAATGAGAGACGCAATCGGGGCCAGGGATTAACAATGCGAACGCCGTCACTAATATTCTGATCGATTCTAATTGTCCTAATGCGAGTTTCCTGTAGTTGGTGCCCCCCAACGGGGGTGGCATCTACGTATATGTAAATTGGGCGCCGGTGGCGGAATTTGCATAAAATAATTAATAAGTTTTCAGTTCGCACGCACGCACGTTCGTAATGATTTGAATTTACATTTTGTTTACGGGCGCGTCGAAAAATTCGACAACAATAGGAAATCGTTATCGTTAACGATGAAATAATTATTGTCGCAGATCGTTAGCTGGGCGGCCCGAAACATTAGTTTTCGATTTTAAACATTAGCATTGAATTAGCCACCCGGTAAACTATTTAAAGCGAAGCTGATCAAGTTGAATTATTCAGTGCTCTTGTTGCGTAGGTACCTACAGATCACCACTATGTACGCAGGACTAGTTTTAGTTTTAGTAGTTGTTTTAGAGTTTGAGGTTGTGAGAGGACTTAATTTTCCCGGATTGGATTCGAACAAAGTGAAAGTAAATAATCGACTGCTTGATTTCATTTTTAATTAACTATGGGGAAACAGTGTTATCGGTGGTAAATGAAAATATCGATAAAAGCAACTAATTTTAGGTGTCGGCCGTGATGAACAAGTTTACGGGCGTTTGCTCCGGCAAGGAGGGCATCGTCAAAGCGGAATTCAGAAACGTCACGTGGCGCTACGACTCTGCCGGGCAACTGTTTGTCGATTATCAGATACGCTACAAGCAGGATTTTCCACCTGAATTATCTGTAATATTCATAAACAAACATTTTAGAAAAGTTTTTATTTTTATTTTGATTTTAAGACAATTTGGACGATTGAAAAGTGTAAAAGTAAAGAAGCGTTAGACACTTGTTCAAAGTTTACTTCTGTGAGGTCTTCACATTTTTGTAAACTCGCCACGGATAAAGAGGCGGCATGGAGTACGTTTGTTACAAAGTGTTTAACACCCGAATGGGTTTGTCCTTTTAAAAAGGTAGTAATCATTAAAATAATTTTAAATATAATAAATATTTTTTTAATTTATTAATAGGGAGTTTATGTTGGAAAAATTGCACATTTGACGCATCTGCGTTCAAATTCTTCCCACTAGAAGGCAGTTATTGGAGGTTTATCGTTGAAATATTGCATCCGCGCACAAAAGCACTATTAATGTGTTTTCTATTCGAGGGTAGTGCGATGAAGCGTACTGTTTGAGCAACAAACAACTTTCAGCAAATTCATCTTTTCATTCGCATGGAATAACCGTCAACATTAATTTTCCTCAAGACGAAATTTAATCTTAATCCAGTTATAATGTACAGTTTTAACACGCGAGGATTGTAGATGGATTCTCTCCATTGTTAAGAAAACACGCTCGTAGAGGATCCAATTTTATTCGCGCACTAAAAATCTTTTATGTTATAATCGCAGTGTAGTAGTGTGTCCACACTTGAAGCGCTTGCGATACGAAGCTTTTACACTTTAACACTCTTTTCTATCCGAGCGGCGAACAAATATTATTGCGTGCGTCAAATGGGTGGAGTCCTGAAAACGCGGATGGATCGTACACGGTTTGTAATAGCAGGATACCGTTTGGTTGAGTCTATATAGGATATAATTAATTGCATATTTAAGGGATGGTTTTCTCCGTGTGCTGGTGGAAATAATTATATTTTTTACTCGTTTATACTCATTTAGGTCATTGTTATATTATATCATCGCCTGAAACGATGTGTTTTAATTGAATTTCTTTGCGAAATTCTACATTTACATTTATTTGTTAATTAAAATATGTTTTTGACGGTCGAATTTAATTGAATGTAAATATTTATTTAATAAATGTGCAATATTTGTGTAGTTTTGCAGTGGAAAATTAAAAATTCAATTTTCTGCTTTGCTGATTCGTATCGCAGCGTTTTGAACTTTGATATCTACCGAAATGGCACTCGGCGCGCAACATGCGCCGCACGTAAATGCAATCCTTTTTCCGCAGTCAACGAATCGAAATCGCATCTCGGCGGAACCGCAGTTAAATATGGTAATTGTTCCGCGGAACATTCGAGGCTTAAATTTTTATTTCGGCCATCATTCGGCGTTTTGTGCTTTACGATTATCGCCGTCATTACCGGGAATTTTGCGACTAATAAAACACGAAAGTTTCGCATCGACAATGTGTATGACATTAAATGATTTCGGCTGTTTACTCGGCTTATCTTTGTCGGCATTATGTCGCGTCTTATTTGCGGAAGTTTATTTGATTTAAAATATATTTAATGGCGTAATGTGATTTTTTTTTTCAATTTAATATATGTTAGAATTACGAAATGTTGTTTCGGTTTTACTAGTTTTATTCAATAATACAGAGCGATCGGATCTTAATTGTGAACAGTTTACAACGAATGCCGGAGCACGAGTCTGAGTTATTTCTTAGGAGACGCATGCCCAGCGACGCAAGTCGCTGACATAAACAGAAAAACCCCCCATCAGTGATGTGACTCCATATCCACTGGGTGTTCTGCATGTTGCTGGTGCATGGTCATATACGCAACCTTACATATATGAATAGTTTTTTAATATATTTTTTATTTAGGTCAAGGTGCATGTTGCCTATCTATTTACTAATGAGATTTCTTTGTTTGGGATGCTCGCCCACCGCTGAAACTGACATGCTTGCATTGTAAAAGTTTCAATATCCGCCTTCGGGCTTTTCATCTTTTTAATATCAATATTTTATAAGACGGGCCCGGATTAAATATGAAATGAAAAATGCGCTCGTTTTCCGCTCGCTTTTCTGCGAACGAAGATCGATGCGATGCACATTCGTTCTCATTGTAATCTCGGCAAAGCTCTAAAAGCTGCGATTAATTTCGCCGGCGAAAGATTTCTCTTAGGTGAGAGCATTTAAATTACCTACCTACCCGTTCACGGCGCGCTACCTTTTTGCGCATCGATGAAAATGTTTAAGAACTTTCCGGGATCTATTCGTCACAGAGTGTTTGCCTTCCGGAAAATGATTTTCACGCCCGATTACATTCACATTCGAAATTTTTGCCGAAATAATCTCGCAAAACAAATCCAAAAGTGTGGTACTCGCTCGCGAAGTGCTAATTGAAAGTTGAGCATGTAACATGTGCGCAAATAAAACGCGCGTGTTTTACGAGCTGACGCGATGAGAATGTGTTATGGTGTGTTTACGCCTAGATTACGATGTCATATTTATGTGGATCTGGATTACAAAACACGCATGACGGGACAAAGTGCCCTGCTCGCGCACAAATAATTACAGGTGAAAGGGCGTTGCGCACAGCGGGCGGTTAATTAAATTACCATCTAATAAAACGCGAATGTTCACTGGAATGTGCTGGTACATTACAGTTTCATGCGCGCATGAAACGATGCGACATTGATATTAATAAATAAGCGCCATTCGTCTTGTTTCGCGTCGAAATAAAATTGAACTTTTTCCGGTGTAATAAATGATGCACGAAGATTGTTGCTGTTGCTGTTGCCTCGCAAAACACGGCAGCGCCAATTCATGTTGTTTGTTTCCGCGCACTCCACCTCCGAAGAATATTAAATTATGTTTCATTTTATTTGCGCTTGTTTCAGGGCTGCGTACGATACGGTAACGAAAACAAAGGTCGCCATCAAGAAGATTTCTCCCTTCGAACATCAAACCTACAGCCAGCGCACACTACGAGAAATCAAAATACTCACGAGATTCAGGCATGAAAATGTAAGCCACTTTGGAGCTTTGTATAATCTTTTCGGTAATTTTCTAATCCCCCCAATGAAGAAAGTTATGCTCTTAAGACGAGAAAATTCATCAACATTGTTGTTTGCTTAGCAGCAACAATTTCGAATTAATTACGGTGCAGTTTAGTTTTAATTAAAAGTCGCTCGGTTTTCATGTCGGCGGCGATGAAACGCAATTAAAAAAGTTTTTTGCTTGTTCTTTTTTTTACGCTCTCTAGTCGTGTGTGTCTTCGCGCTCTCTATTCTCGTCGTTTCTATTGGCAGATAATCGATATCAGGGACATTCTGCGTGCCGTCACGATAGAAGAAATGAAAGACGTCTACATTGTCCAGTGGCTGATGGAGACGGACCTTTACAAACTATTAAAGTCGCAGGTAATTAATTCAGCGCGCATGCGAGCGCAAACTTGTTGTCAACTGACAGTTTAATCTGTTGTTATGAAACTTTAATGCTTTCAGAGGCTGAGTAATGATCACGTCTGTTATTTTCTGTATCAAATACTGCGAGGTCTCAAGTATATTCATTCGGCGAACGTGCTGCACAGGGACTTGAAGCCGAGCAATTTGCTGTTAAATACGACCTGCGATCTTAAGGTAATGTGAAAATCTCAAAAATGTGTTTATGGGTGAGTTTAATGTGTGGGTTTTATTTGTTTGTAGATATGTGATTTTGGTTTGGCTAGAGTGGCCGATCCCGAACACGATCACACCGGCTTCCTTACAGAGTACGTCGCGACGCGATGGTACAGAGCGCCCGAAATTATGCTCAACTCAAAAGTAAGTTTTACCACCGCCGTTGCGACGGAGCGCAGCGGACAAATTGAATAATAAAAACTTTATGTTTCAATCAGGGCTATACGAAATCCATAGACATTTGGTCCGTGGGTTGCATACTGGCGGAGATGTTATCGAATCGGCCGATATTTCCCGGCAAACATTATCTGGACCAATTGAATCACATTCTCGGTGTGCTCGGCTCGCCGTCCCAGGAGGATCTCGATTGCATTATTAACGAGAAAGTACGTACGCCGCATAATATTTTCCGGAGAAGCAAATTGAAATATGCTGGGACGTGAATTGAGTTTCGTTTTGTTTGCAGGCCCGCGGCTACCTTCAATCGTTACCATTTAAACCGAAAGTACCCTGGGTGAAGCTGTTCCCGAACGCCGACCCGAAGGCGCTCGATTTGCTCGACAAAATGCTTACGTTCAATCCGCACAATCGCATTGTCGTCGAGGACGCTCTGGCGCATCCTTATTTGGAAACCTATTACGACCCAGCGGACGAGGTAAGATTGAACATCCTCTTACACACATACAAACAACCTACTAACACAACATTTTGTTTAAATTTCTAGCCCGTGGCAGAAGAACCGTTCCGTTTCGATACCGAACTGGACGATCTACCCAAAGAGAAACTCAAGCAGATGATATTCGAGGAGACGTTACGCTTCAAGCAGCGACATACTGAACCACCACCGCAATCGCAACAACACCCGCAGATGCAGCAACAGTTTAGCGCGGTGACGACGTAGTCGCGATCGTCCGCGAACTGAAAAAAAAAACAACCACACCGAATGAACAACATGCAAAAAGAGAAAACCCAAGAAAAACAAATGCAACCAACAATTGAATGCAAACAAAAATCGCCTACAAAGTTATGATTATTTTTTTTACTGTAAGATTTAACAACATGTTAAGATACGATGAAAGGGAAGGCACGAGGTGAAGAAGACACTTAGCGCAATGCATACATCTGCGATAAGCTATATAGATTATATTTGAAATTTTCAATTCAGAAATTGAATTATTTAAAGGACTTTTGCGATAACGTGAAATCACTGTGTTTTTTGGTCGAATTCATTCAGTCACACTTTCAGTATTGGATGTTTTTACGCGTTATTAACTAGTAAATTAATTATAAACAGAAAATTTAAAGTCACGCAGGCGTCGGAGACGAGTGGCACGTTTTGCAAATGGCGTCAGATAAATTTAAAGTAAAGAATGCATATAAAATGATGTGAAAGTTCGATAAAATTATTTGTATCATTTAAAAAGAAAAGAAACAAAACGTTTGAAGTATTTTTTGTTTTATTTACGTCCTTTCGGTTATGATTTCTGTATTTAATGTCATAGCATGTTTCATATCTCACTCAACTTGTACTTAAAGGTGAAAACTAGCGCTACTAATGTTTTCATTGTTTACCACGTAACTTACTCGCTCTATACGAATCAAAGATTGTTCTCATCGTGTGTACAATTATTACAAACTACTATTCCAATTTGTTGTTATTGCAGTTAGAAACTATTCAACAAAAATCACGCACACATGTTACCGATACTTACGATTAAGAGAAAATATTATGAAGCAAATGGACAAAGTGTATACCACACATTAGTACGTTTGGAGACTATTTTTGAAACATAACGATTGTAAAATATTGATGAACGAGATGATGCGGTATCGGTGAAAGATGAGTTCTGTTTCCGTTCGCATTACTAAGTACTGGTTGCATATCATTGTCAAAGTAAACATTGTTTTAGTCATAACATTGTGATAGCCGGCAACCGTAAGCAAAACAAAAACCATGAATCGATCAAATCTCAATTTGCGTATTCACGTCGTACAAGTTTGTATCAACACGCAAACCTCATTAACGAATAAGACATCATTGTTGCATCGTTTTTCAAATTCTCGATGTTTTTATGTCACCATTTACTACTACACTCACTAAAAACACACACACCTAAATGAGATGACTTAAAAGTGTAATTAAACAAACATGAAAACTTCTTTCTGGTGAAGAAGAAGAAGCAAAACCACATGAAACTTGAATTAAACGTAACCTAGCGTACTAATAATTGAAAAAGAACAAACAAATGGCCTAATAATATATCTTTTCTTGTTAACTACTGAATGTTGTTATATTATACATACATTATTAACATTATATCGACGGTGATGATGATGATGATGGTTCGTAAACTCATTCATTAATTGTTCATTTTAATGAGGATACTGTTTGTTATTGTATATCTGTAGAGTAGTTATTTTCGACTTGATGAATCATACATTATAGCAGTAAGTGCGCTCATTTTCAAGCACCGAAAATACCACACGCTTGGTGTGAAAATGCGCGCACTTATTCATTGAAATGTTGATGATTATATAAATGTCTTTATGATTATAACTTGTGTGCTCCACACACACAAATGTATATGCCGGAACTGGAAAAGACAAATGACGAGTAAATAACTTCCATGCGCATAATGAAAAGAAAAAGAGATTTTAAACGACGAGCTGCTTCGATTTTCATAACACATTTACTGGCAATATTTATCCAGATCCTGCAAGGTGAAGCAAATGAAACGGAAAAGTCAAATTTATATTAGTTCCACTTTGAAGTGTGATAATAATTAATAATAACGAGAACGTTTGTCGAACATGTCTGTCGTAGAAAATGGTGTGTGCAAGTAGATGAATTTGTTTCGTAATCTGAAATCATAACATTGGAAGATTTTGGCGGTCATGTTCGCGAATGCATCCTCAATGATGAATATATCACTGATTGTCATTAATATTATTGTAGTTTCTGATATATAATTAATGAATATAGGTGTACAAAAATAAAATAAATATTCCAGCATAAATTGAGTTTAGATTTCAATAAAAGTAATATAATTCCTGTTTAACAAATCTATTCTTTCCAGTTTCTTGTTGTTGTATTATAGTGCAAGAGACCCTTTATATTTTACACCCTTTCAGCCTAGGAATCAACAGGAAGGACCATGAAATGCCCATCGAAAAATAGTGTTTTTCTAAAAATGTAATAAGATGGTGTGGAAAACACGCTGTATCTTGGAAGCTACCTTATTTATTTTCAGTTTCTTACACTCATATTGTAGTTCAGGAGCCCCTTTATACAATGCATATCATATCAATGCATAGAACCTTCGAGAAGGGTCTTTAAATATGGATACAAAATTTGTATTTCTCTAAAAATTGAAGACATGGAGAGAAAAACACCCTATATCTCGTGAATTATTTCATTTTCTTTATATCTTTCACCATCATATTGTAATTTACGAAACCCTCTGCACTATGCGTATTTTTTAAGCCCTTCAAACCCTCTGGAAGTGCCTTAAAATGGTTGTTATTGTCCAAAAAGTTCATTTTAAAATTATTTTGTGTCGAAAGACAGGGTCGAACTTTTTTGTTAAAATTATTTTGTGTCGAAAGACAGGGTCGAACTTTTTTGTTAAAATTATTTTGTGTCGAAAGACAGGGTCGAACTTTTTTCTTAAATTATTTTCGGCTGAAAGACAGGGTCGCACTTTTTCATAAATTTTTTTATTGTAGAATATTGAAGAAAATGTGATTTGGAATACTTTATCTTAATAAAATTTTGTTCTAAGGTGTACCGTTTTGATAATAATGACCATAAAAAAATTTGTATTCGTGCAAAGTCAAATTTTTCTTGAAAATCGCCAATAGGGCCTATACGGCTAGTGCTACATTAAAATTGTATTTAAATAAATAAATCAAAATTAAACAAGCTATCTGAACCCTAAATCAGAATATCAAAATTCTCATTTTTATTTTGTGATAAAAAAATGAAAAAGTTTTGCCTTTTTTATGACGAAATCTTTTCACGGTTTATGTTTTTTATGACAAAAATTAAATTTTTGAATTTTCAAATTGCTTTTTCTGATTATGATAAAACAGAACAATAGAAATCATTTATTTTAGTAAATTTTTCTTCTACAACCCTTATTTAAGGCCCTATTGAAGCCGGAATAGATAAAATAAAATTCAATAGTTTTATGCGAATATCTTTTGAACTAAACGCTTAATTAAAATAATGTATTAAAATATTTTGTTTATAAAATTGCCCTTTATCATAATCCGCCCTAAAAACTTAATTTTTTTAATTTATTAAATAAAATAAAATATTAAAATAATTAATTTAAAAAATTAATAATATAATTGTGTAGACGGGCTCTAAATACATTTATGAATAAAACTTTTTCTCATTAGCACTAACCGTTGAGCCTCAAAATGCATTTAAATGAATCGTGAACTTCCATCAATACTTAAGTATCGATTATCTCTGGGACTAATTAAGATATACAAAAACGGAAAACGGCATTGCGTTCCGTCAACAATTCTACATATGATAAACCCTTAAAATTTGTACTTTTGAGTAAGGGAAAATTGATTTTCCGATGCAATTTTCTCGGAAAGTAATAAAGATAGAAAGAAACTTCTTGCACTTTCTTCATGTCACGATAGGGGTCTATTAAATGGCAGATTTAGTTTTTTGATTTTATGAAGTTGACCAAAGACCACTCAAAAAGAGTCAAGAGGTTACACTTAAGTATTTTTGGGCTTAAAAAATTAATGTTGAGCTAGGAGAAAATGGAAAACGCCAATCGATAGAGTTTTCCAAGGGGATGAAAGATATCAGGTCAGTTTTCCGATAACATCAATATTTCGGAAAATGGGTGGTAGATTCAAAACTGATCAAATAAAACCACCTCTCGGATTTTCCGCAAACTTTCCATACTGATATAAAACATTGTCAGGAACCCATTAATCCAGGTTTGGTTGCGCTATCTTAATTAGTTTTTAAGTTATTGACTATTTATAATTATTACATAATTGTTGATAAGTGAAAATTTGAACTTGCAATATAACGTATAATTTAATTCTACATACTAATATGAAAACCGTTTTTCTTTATCTCTAATGGTTTTCAATATATGTTCGAAAAACTGGTTTATTAATTTTCTCCATCATTTCCTAAGTAAAAAATAAAAGTTGAAAATATGCATTTTTTATTACTGAATATTGAAGAATATGTGATTTTACATACTTTATCTTAATAAAATTTTGTTCTAAAATAAACCGTTTTGATAATAATCAGCCTTACAAAGTGAGGTTTTGTCACAATTTTAATTAAATCAAAAGTGTCAATAGGGCCTAAACGATTAGTGTTGGAACAATATTACTCTTAAATATTTTAATTAAAATTTAAGAAGCTTTCAGAATCCGAAATCAGAATTAAAAAATTCCAAATATTTATTTTTGTTAAAAAAAGTTGAAAAGTTTTGCCTTTTTTATGACAAAATCTTTTGTTTAATTTTTTTAATTCAAATTTGTCCGTTGTACAAAAAGTATGGAACCTTGTACAGAATTCTTCAAGGATCAAGAATATGAAGTTCTTTTTTTTGTAGCCCTTCTGGTTGTCGAGATAATCTGATTTTATCTCGACGGTTTCGACGGAAAATTTTAAGCAAAAAATTTGGTCGTCTTTCGACATAAAATAATTTACACGAACAAGTTCGACCCTGACTTTCAACACAAAATAATTTAAGCAAAAAAGTTCGACTCTGTCTTTCGACACAAAATAATTTACCAACAAAAGTTCGACTCTGACTTTCGACAGAAAAAAATTTACCCGCATAAGTTCGACCCTGTCTTTCAACAATAAATAATTTACCTCCATAAATCCGACCCTGTCTTTCGACACAAAATAATTTTCTCTAAAAAACTTGTCCCTGACTTTCGACATAAACCAATTTAACAAATAAATTGAACCATGTTTTGTAACACAAACATTTTTGAACTTAAAAGTTTAACCCTCTGTTTTGTCACGAAGTAATTTTAACAATAAAGTTCAGCCCTGTAAGAGGTATCAAATATACTTTATTGGTGGTGGCGCATGATATCAATTAAAGATACCTGTAAATCAATGCAAATTCCTGTAAATTAATAAGCCAAAATTCAAATGTTTAAAGATTGATTGTGAGATGTCGCTGGAAACCATCGGAAAAACTTTTTCCGTCCCGTTTTGTCCTGCGAGCGAGCGAGCGCAAGATGAGAAAGTAGGAAACGCGGGGGTGTATGGAAATACGATTTTCACAATCGCTCCATCTCTGCCGCACGACGAAATCGCCGCCCGCTAGGTCATTGCGACCGTGTTCGGACGGCGTGTGTCGACGGCGGCACGAGAATCAATTGCAACGCAACAACGGCACGAATACGGCGCGCGATTTTTGCGATCCATAAATTTCGCGTTTGGTGAAATGTCAGCCAGTGCGCGATAATTGCAGTGCACACCCTGTGGCGGCTTTGTTTTGTGGTGGTTGTGATTACGAATTCTCCGAACCAAAACTTGGGAATGATGTATCTGCATTGCGTTGGATGTGCGCGTGAATACATTTATTGGAGTGGATTGGCATGAGGTAAGTTAAATCAAATCGCATATTTCTTTTAAAACACTTTTGCAATACTCCAACACATAAAATATTGAAATAAATAGATTGACAGATTGTTTACACATTGAATTTTCAACAATTTACAACTCGCGTTACTTTGCTAAGTAAATACGTTGTTATAACAAAAAAGCAAACGCAGTGAAACGGCAGGTTTTTAACCTTAACAAGCGATCTATACTTAGACACGGATTACACCTTGTTCGAGCAAGGCACCGAATCTATCCGGTGACTTGTTACGAATTATCATAAAAGCGATTTGCTGTTAATGTTGAACTGAATGACTCGAACTGGTGTTGTTGCGAGCCAGCTCCGAATATCAATGCAAACCAAGGTCGATTTTTGTCAGTAAGTACATAAACGTGCGAGTTTTTGTTTCAACCGCGATTTAATTCAATGCGTACAAATAAATAACGCTGCCGCCGGCGGAGAGTCAGTCGGTCTCGGTTTGGTAAGCTGGCCGCAGCGCAAGAAGTGTATCCTACCGACGTCATATTGTTACCGTACAGTTTTCGCATGAAGTACGCTAATGCAAGAAAAAATCGTGCGAGCAGAGTGACATAATCGGCATGTTCGTGGCCTACGAGCGATTGTGTGCCGGGCGGTCGCGTGTGTCTGTTCGAATCCGCTGGAAACGCGAGCGCGAAATCGCTGTGGTGGCCGTGCGCGATCGGCCGACGTTATTGATCTGCGAGTCGGCGTCGCGGCGCCCCCGTCTCGCGCGCCGCCCCCACGTGGGCGCCATAAGGTGCCATAGGATAGAGATCGGTAAGAAAACCAACATTGTACCATCAGCTAGATAAACAACCAAAAAAACAACGAAAACTGTGCATGGCGCAGGAAAAGTTAACGAGAACCGTAAAAAAGTAAAACTACGTCCTGTATTTTTTGTTATTTATGGTTAAAGGTGGTTTTATTGAATAAAGAACGTTGACGTACAAATTGGGTAATACCTCAACGTTTTTTATCGCCGGTGTGTTTACCAATCTCTGCTTGTGCAATAAAACTAGACGAATATAAACTTTGCGAAAATAAAATACAAAGAGTTATCAAACAATAACAAAATAATTAAATAAACACACATGATGGGAATGTACTGAATTCCACTCGTGATGATTTCTATACTTACCTACGTAGTTCCGATTAGTTGTGGCATCGCAAACTTTAAGAAAACTTCACGAAGGCGTGTTGGACAATAAACTCGTCTCATTGCTTTGTAAGTCGTGCTAATTGCGTGTGTGGTGCATGAATGCATTGCCCAAGACGATATTTGCAATCGTACGCCCAAGCAGGTCGACTTTACAAGCGCAAACATTCATAATCATTCATAATTACATAATTATCGGAGGCGCCCGCCAATACCAATTTCGCGCGGTGATTGCCACAAAAAATAATAATAATTACAATGCGATTTCAAGTTTCTACATCATAACACCAATAATTATAAAATTATACCAGTAACCGAACGCAATTAACCTTGTTAAGTGTGTAGTCCTGTTATTAATTTGATGGTATTTTCTGAAAGTGTTGGAACTTTTTAGAGTGTTAATTAAGTGACGGGAAATGCATTATGAGATGTGAAGGTTGGAAAATGAAAAGTGGCAATAAAGCTTGCCTGTATGCGGAATATCAAATTCTCTCGTGGTCGTCGTGGAAAGTGCACTTTAATAAAAATACACTGGTTGGAATCATAACGCGCTATTTATAACACACTAAGCTGCCATTTGCGATCGTTGCGGAAAATTCAATTTAAACTTGAACGAGAGCTTATTTTCACAAGAGAGATAAGTTATGTACATATTTTTCATTTGATATTAGTTCGGGCAAAATAGAAACGTTTTTAAAGATGTAGGTAATTCAATAACAAGTTTACTGAAAAATTAAAGTTTAGGTAAAAATTTTATTAGAAATCTGAGAAGGTTTAAATGTTAGTCATAGAGTAATAAATTTTATTTCAAAATATTAATTTGAAAAGCACTTTATCCAAATGTTTTATTACTTTTGCTACATTTGGCAAAGTAGTAATTAAAATGTTAGGCGCCTCCACCATTTTATTAAATCTTAAAGTTACTAAAGTAATATAAAGAGGTAAATATTAATTTAAAGTGTATTTTAGATTGTGACAACAATTCATACATTCTTATCAATATATAGCAGTTAGTTGCAGGGATTTTGCTGCCGCCAGTTTGGCGGAAGATGAAGATAAATCTAAACTTTCGTACTCGATTCAATTTCAAACAAAACTCGCTTCCAAATAAAGTAATTTGGGATTACGTTAATGTCTTTTCGAGGGTAATGAAGCCTGTAATGAAGTTTTCGGAACGTATCTAAAATTACTGAATTTTCTTTTTTTAATTTTTTTAATTTTTATCGTAAAACCTCTGAAGTACAACATTTTCGCAAAGTTTTGAAACATATTGTCGTGTTTTTATTGTTTTTTTAAATAATATGTATTAAAAGAGTTTCTTCATAGAATGAGATGTGTTTCCATTCTTTAAATGTCACAGAACTATCATAAAAACGCTTATTATCCAATCAAATGCATCCTCGCAGAAAGTATATTATTATAGAGAAATTGCGCTCAGTCAGTTAATGTATGTGCGAACTGATCGATTACTTACTTGGGTACTCCTTTAATTTCATGCATTGACGCAGAGTATTTTCAGTGCATATTTACATATTAATGCAGCCATTAAAATGCGCGCTCAAGGATGCTAGTGAACGATGTAGACTGCAAGCATAAAACAAGAATACGCAAAGAGCAAATTGTTCTGTTTGTAGTTAGAAGCTTTCATTAACAGATGGCAGCAAAACAATACGTACCTAATATTATACGCTCAGGTATAATTTTATGGTTATTATTAAACAGCTCACGTGCTGGAATTGTATGTAACTTTGTTGTACGGATGTTACTGGTAACGAATTTATATTAAACATGAAAAATATTGATTTTTCAACTAAATTAATTAGTTTAAATTAATTTACTTTTTATTATGTTAATGTTATTACTAATATAATTGTTTATTTCCATTTTATAACGTGTGGGATTACAATTTATATTTAATTTGACATGTTTTGCTATAATGACATTTTCAACTGTTTAAATTAAGTATTTGAACAATTGTCCACGTTTATTATCTTTTTCTATCATTTTTTTATAATAAGGCTCACACAACCGTTATTTGTGTGAGTTTCGTCACGTGCAGCAACTGTTTGCACATAATAACCAACCGGAATTCATTGTTAATACTCATTAGACAAATGATGTAAGACTGGTTGCCTACAATCAAATATCAATTTAACAAAACCTACTACAATAAACAAATTGCATTCTACTCTACTCTTAATCTTAATTATTCCCAACGCAATGAAGTTTCATAATCATAACTTCATAAATCCACGATTATGATTACATTCTAATGTCATCCAAATCGTATGTAAATTACACTCCTCAACCCAAACGCCGAAGTGCCGAGTCGAAAAAAACGCAGCCTGAATGAATAATCGCGTGAGATTGCTTATCCTCGGCGCTTTCCTCCGCGCGCGCGGTTTGCCGATCGACCAAATGGCGACCAGCAACAAATGCCAACCGAATAGTTAACAATGCGCTGTGAGAGCGCATTGTTTCCTGTCGCCGGCGCAGGCCATCAAGCGATGGGAACCCAGCGCGCGCTCGAGAGGGGTTCGTCGGTTGTGTTGTCGCGCACCGTAAATGAAAGTCCCACGGTCTCACCCTGTTTCCACGCACGGCGCCGCGTAGACAACAAGTAGCGTTGTGCCCGTGCGTAAGTTGTAACGGTTTCGACCGTTAAAATGTACATATCAATACCAAGCGCATAGAATTATATAGAACAGAATTCACAACCTGCTGGGAAGAATCAACTGGGAAGTGTGTCTGGGCTAGGAAGTAATAATCCGTGGAATGTGACTATTTAATCATCGATTTTTGTATGATTGACGTGTGTTTGCAGGCAAATATTGTGCGACATATTCAAACTTCAGGAGTACGAGTACATGTACACTTGATTTATTGGAGGGAGTAGCGCACGTTATTCGTCAATCATTCGAATCGGGACGCAAAGTTTACAAAAATGTGTTGTAACCGCATTGTGGTCGCATTTCCGTTGTTTATCACACAAGTTCAAAAGTTTAAATAGGTTTTAGTTTTAGTTTTAGTAATGCAGTCAATCTATCAATATACTTATATATTAAACAAAGTCGTGTTAGTTACAGCGCTTATAACTCAAGAACGGTTGGACAGATTTTGATGATTTATGATTTGTTGGATTCATCTTTGACTCAAATAGGAGATTAGTTATTAAAATATCAAAAATTATTACTTAAAAGGTGTTAAATAAGGTTTGAAAGTTTATATGGAGATTCAATCACAGTTATAGTTAAATAATTGAATCCTAGGTGGCGCTAAAGTGCATTATTAGCATTTCTCATTCATTTTGCATCAAATTATGAGTGTTTTTAATGAAATCAACACAAAATTTGAACAAGAAAGCAAAATTAACAAAATTTTACTAAAACTACAAAATAGCAGGTAAAAACTAGTTTTATAATAAAATAAATATTATATAATGTAAAACATTCCTAAGATGATTTCATTGATAGTGACTGCATCGTAAAATGATTCATCTCGGAATTTCATTTAACAATTATCATACAAACGTAAATGGAATTTGTAAATGCAATAAATTCAACATATTCTACAAAAACTACAAAATCCTAATAATGCCAACTCATAAATTCTCGAAAGAATCAAATCCGAAAATCATTTCCGGTTAAGCAAAGTTTAAACTCTCTGAATGCGAGGTTAAAAGGTGTATCCTTTCAGTTTTGTTTTTCACCGTCGCATAAGTCACTCGACGCAATGCTCTTCACGGTTTACCGGCGCCGTCACGTTGACAAAATTACGCTGAGGAACACAGAGCGGGCCAGTCCAATGACCTGGCCATGTCGAGTGAAATTAACGAAAGCGACGAACCGAAACGCGGCCGAACGGTCGCCGGTAAGGTGCGCGACGTGCCGGTTCACCACTTCATGGTGACCAGTTGTCATCTGGTGCAATGTGCTCGCCTTCATCAAACAGCAAACATTTAATATGTAATTGAAATTTGAGAATCCCACGATTGGGGGAGTCATCGTTGATGCGATGGAATTTCGATGTATGCAACACGCATGACTTTCACGCAATGTTGACCATCAATGATTCATAATTGTGAATCATTCCTTCAGTGCTTCCAGTAATAATTTATTTAAAATCCAACGGTAAGAGTCTATCAAGAATATGAAGAAGAATGGCATGAATGACTCGACTAGTGGAGCACTGGGCAAAAATCGAATACGAACGCTTGTGCATTCTTGCTATCTATGCAACTTTTATGTAACACTCCTAACAATCATGGCTGCCCGACGTGCGCAGCTCGGCTAATACATTCCGCATCTACCTGTGGTGCGTGCGCCGCTCGTTTACCTGGGAGAGTGAAGCCAGGGTTCGCCTTGAATCGAAAACTCTTCATACCAACGAATCAATCACCTCCCAAGCCAAAAAATAACATTTTTACGCGAAAAAATTACTTAGTGATGATAAAATCTTTGATTTTGTTTTGATTTCGAAAATATTGAGGAATCCAGTGCTGATAGACAAATTACAGACGTTTGGTTGGCATGTAGGCTTCTGGTAGCTGTCTACGGATGTGTTTAGGACGGCCGATAGAGTGGGAAACCGCAGTGAGCACGTTGTGCATGCGCACATGCTGCTCATTGTTGAATCGCTTGGTACCGCTGGCACAACTAGTGGCAATCAATCGCGATCCGCTTTGGAATCGTCGCGCCTTGCATTCACGAACATTCCAAGCCAATCCGGGCCATCTTCGCGTATTTCGCACCGTTCGTTCGCACGACACGACACACCATCATACCTGTGTGTGTGTGGAGGCTTTGAGTTGGTAGCGTGGGGACGCACACACAACAAACCGACAGAACCCAACCGTCAAAAGTCCCCCTCGTTGCACACCGCGCGCACCGTTTACAAGCGGTTTCGATGTACTCGCGGTAACACCCCGGCTGGAGGAGCCTTTTTCTTCATCGTAATAATTCGTGGTGTTAAACAATAACAAAACGCGGCGCGGAATTAGACTTAAGTCAGTTTAACTCACATCTTAAGACTGTTGTGGAATTTAAGTAGTGTTGCATTTTTGGATACTGGATATAAAATATTAATACTCATTAGTGTTCAGAGTTTCATAGAGGATCTAAGCAAATAGGTGTGTTTGTTTCGACGAATCCACAGTGTGCGGTGTGTACGTGTGCATAACTAAAAAGTACGTTGTGTGGCTGTCGGTTGAAAACTCGTTTGGTACGGTGTCAACCTTGTACATGTATAGTGCTTCCATCCAAAGGCTCGCAACATTTCAAGCATTTCAACCAGTGGCTCTCACATTTCTACATACTACCTACTACTAGGTGTGTTTTGTTTTATTTAAACACATCCAGTGCGAATCCAATAAGTTTGAAGAAGCAATAATGGCGTCCGTGATGAAGAACAACATCTCTTGCACCGCGCTGTACGGCGGCAGATGATCGAGAGTGCCAAACATCTGCCACAGCGGCAAACGAGCGGCGCGTGCTGCAGCTACCAAATACCGAAATTCCGGTGCGCCATCAACATCCGACTTGCAGCCGACATCCTCCCGCGTCGACGCCGGATGTGTACTCGGGTGGTACATGTGACGTTTCGATAAGTTAACGAAGGGGTGCAGACGGATATAGGAAGATTCCAGGAAGCAACAGTGCCATAATTCTCACATCTCACCAACAAATCTTCGAATAAACGTGATTTATCATTAGTCTTGTGGATTTAATCTCAGAGAGGAAGTGCTAATCGTTTTAAGTTTTGCTCAGTGTGTGTGTGAACTTATCAAAATGGGAAATAATCCATCGAATTCCAATCATCAGCAGTTGGAGCGTGGGGGTGGCGTTGGGAAGTTTGGGGATGTTCATGCGGTAGGTTTAAATTGAAGTCTCATGTGATTTTTTTTAAGTTAATCTGTTGGGACGTTAGTTAAAACGTTTATAACTCAAGAACGGCTGGACAGATTTTGATTATCTATGATTTTTTGAATTCGTCTTGGTCTAGAATAGAAGAATAACTATTAAAATATTAAAAATTATGACTAGAAGACTGTTAAATATGGAATAAAAATTCGGTAAAACCTAATTATCAATAGTAAAACGCAAAATCAAAATTCTACTGATTTCTATTCATAGAAATGATTAACCTTGCTAATCATAAAATCTGCTTTGATCAGTATAAGCAAAAACGAAATTGGCTGACGTCATGTCTAGTGCGAATCGTTTCCAAATTATATACAATCTCTCCTACTGCGAAAGCCCGAAGCGCAACCCATTTGGGAGTTGTCCGCACGTCTACATATCTTCCTCTAACTTGTTGCAGAGCGATATAAATAAATCCAACGGTCGCAGGTTCACGAAACTTTATTTGTATTTTCTGCTCGTTTATTGTCTGCTGCGTTTCTCAGATTCTCGGAATTTCTTGCAAGGTTTTAACGCGAATCCATTTTATTTATTATTTATTCTGCGTTACATACATACTGATGTCGGTTAGTTAAGCGTGCTTACGTGCAGCGCGTGCGTAAACCAACGCTGCTGCATAATCGTTTATTTGGTGTTAATACCAGTTTCACTTGTTTCACAAACAACTTTAATTAGAAATGCATACACATGACTTTTGAATTTGCAATTAATGAATTTTTATTTAGAAATTTCTGCTAATGTTTGATGTATATTAAGTTGCATATATTATTATATACGCATATATGATTTAATGTTTTTCAAATCAAATGCGTTGAGGAGGAATTTGATATTACGGTTGCTGCATTTTTGCATATACAGTAATCCACACATGTTACACCTTAATGTAAACTTTACACTTGAATAATCTTTGATAATCTTACTGATATGAAACATATGCATTGATATTTGCAGTTATTTTCAATATAGAAATCAATATTTATCAAAATTTACATGTTTAACGGTGTTTTTCTAACTGTACTTTATTAAAATTATCAAGAAGTGTGAAAAATCCATCGTTCCGCAAATTACCTTTCTTATAATTCATAAATATTAATTTCATTCCCCGAAAATTTAATTTATGCGTCAAAAATCCACGCCTGGCACGCCGCCATCATTAGAAAATTCAACCTGCGACGTGCTAAGATCAAAGTCAATATTATTCCGTAGACCAAGCGGCACCCAGTCAACTTCAACCTTTAATTATCAACTTGTTACTTGTTGTGGTCTAGTTTTCTGGTTGGTACCTATATTTAACTCCGCGTATTGAGAGGACAAGAAGAAAAAAACTTATGAAAAGCCTCTTCATAATACATGAAGTTGTTTTTAAATCAATATGTGACGTTTATAAATAGATGCATACGTTTTATTCCGTTGATGAACGTGTAGTAGGGTCAATTGTTTCGCGTGTCTTCATAACCAACAGACAATTATTGACCAACAAGTCGTGTTGACTCGTCGCGATTACGACATTACGAATGCGCTGCCTAGTGAAATGGTAAACGCAGGGTGATTCGTTATTCGTAATGTCATACGCATATGAATCATGATGGCTGCCTGACTAATCGCCCCGCGGTTCTCGTCTGGTCGAATTGCGTGTCGGATGCGCGTGCACAGGAGGAACGCAGTTGAAATTGAACGAAACGCGTACGCAACTGGATTGTGACCAAGTCTATTGTGTATTCATACACCGGCATTTGCATTCGGTGTAATTAACATTTTGTTTGAAAAACAAAGAAAATGTAAAACATTACAACGGATTTTTTGACATTTTTAATGTATGCAACTTAATATACACTAAAAGTGATCCTGAAAGTATCAAATAAAAACAGTAAATCAATACTATTAGGTATATCAGAGATTGTGTCGTGTCTAGATAATAACCAACTCCATTGTGTATTCATACATCAGCATAATTAAAATTTGTTAAAAAACCAAAGAAAATTGACTACATAACAGATTTTTCGATATTTTCTAATATATGCAACTTAATATGCACAAAAATAATCCTGGTATTATCAAATAAAATCAGTAAATCAATACTATTATATCTCAGTTATTCAACTTGATAAACACGTTATCAACTTACGAGTACAAGTCACGATTTACGATAGTATTCTTCATACCTCAGTGGATGATATATTAGTATCAGTGCAATTCTCTCTTGTGTACACATCAAAAGTTTAAAAAAAGTTTTTTGTTTTGTTTTAGACTTATTTGTAGTGTTATCACGTGCGTGCGCTCTCGTGCATACTCCCCAAGGTGACGACACATTATTGCACAGTGCACACGCAATTGTAATCACACATAATTATGATTACAGAGTGGATGACGTGATTGTGCAGGGAAACTCGTGAAGAGTTTTATTTTTGTATTTCTATCAATCGTTTCACAACTTGCGTGAGTGAACTAAACAGCAGATGCTTTCGATGCTATTTATAGACAGATTGCAATTGTGTTAGGTATTTAAGCGTTCATTGTTCCATACGAACCACAAGCATCCAGTCTCTCGTTGCGACTGGGAATATAATAATTGAGAAGTAATTATTCGCCATGCATGCATGCAGAAAACACGAAAACTGGTTTGAGCTGATTGCTGCGAAAATGTCATCATTTGTCACATTAATTGGCGCATATAAACGCTCCAAACATGCGTAGTTTAATTAACCACAATTAACGACACAGAAAAATACTCCCAAAATCAACAGCCATTGACGCAATTATTTTATTGGGGCGTAATTGATTAAATTAAGCGCGGATCTCAACTACACCAAATTCAGGGGAGTGTAAATTTAATACGGTTTAATTGCGTGTAATTAACGAGACGCGCACGCTTGTTATAAACAAGAGTAATTAATTATTGCGCGACAGCCATTATTTTCGTGTTCGACACGTGGAATTGTAAAACGCCGCCATTGTCATCGTGCGATTGGCTATTACAGGAAACTGTAATTTTGTTTTGATTTAGTCTACCGTTATTACACGAATACAGACAATGAAAGAGAAATAATGGATTTTTAAAATGTAATATCTAATTTTTTTTTTATTTCTGGGTTAATTTATGTTTTAAAATGCGTTTTGTTCGTCGAGGGAATTGTTTTGCTTGGCCTAGTTTTATCACGCTGTATAAATATTTAACAGCGTGTAATTATCAACGGCATGATTATTATTCTTTAATTAGCACTGAAACCACTGAAATTTTGTTGTTCGGGGCTGGAAATTATAATCATTTTTAGTAAATTATTTTAAATTGAGGTCAAATTAAACTAAGAGAATTTGCATTGCATGATGTCTTCAATCAATGTAAAAACCTTTTAATGGATATTGTGTAGTCAGCAATAAAACAGTTGTAAATAAGCGCATTGTTTGAACAAACCTTGAATTGAATATACAAGAAATAACAATAATGAATGCGTTGGTTTGTGCAAAGTGTTGAAGTAATAAATAATTAATTAAGTAGAATCTTTGTTCGATTAATAATGTAAATTTTATGTTTATTTGTTGCAGCGGCGTAGTTTGCGCTCGCCGAGAAAAATGGACCGACTACGACGTTCCTTCCGCGACTCGTTTCGGCGGCGAAAGGACCGCGTGCCCGAAAGTTCCAAACCTCATCAATGGCAAGAGGACGAAACGGCTGTACGGCAAGGCGCATGCGCTTTCGCCGTCAAGTATCTAGGATGTGTCGAGGTGTTTGAATCCAGAGGGATGCAAGTGTGTGAGGAGGCTTTAAAATTGCTCAGAGTAAGTTAAATTTATAATTACTAAAGGTTCTCTGTAACCATTGAGAATATTTGTTAATAATGTAAATTTTTAGGCATCGCGAAGAAGACCTCTCCGTGCGATGCTCCACGTGAGCGGCGATGGTTTAAGAGTTGTCGAAGACGACACCAAGGGTTTGATTGTAGATCAAACGATAGAAAAAGTCTCATTCTGTGCGCCGGATCGCAATCACGAACGAGGTTTCTCTTACATTTGTCGAGACGGCACCACTCGCCGCTGGATGTGTCATGGCTTCCAAGCGGTGCGAGAATCTGGCGAACGATTATCGCACGCCGTCGGTTGTGCTTTCTCAGTATGCTTAGAAAAGAAGCAGCGCAGGGATAAAGAATGTGGAGTGACGATGACATTCGACGCGAAGAACTCTACGTTTACACGTAGTGGTTCCTTCCGTCAGCCGGGACTCACCGAACGCCTGGAGCGTGCTGTTGATGTCCCCAAGCAGAATATCGTCAATCCATTCGCCATCGAGCGTCCACACGCTACTCCCAGTATGCTCGAACGCCAGAATAGTTTTCGCGGCTTCGGCCAGCTGGCATCGAGCTCGCCATTCAAACGGCAAATGTCTCTACGCGTGCAGGACCTGCCCAGCAACGCGGAGCGTTTAAATTTGTACAAAATCGCTGCACAAAACCAGCAGAAATCAGTCTCGCCCATTCCGGAGATGACTGGCGATAGTGTCACGGCTCTCTGCCAACAACTATCGCAAGGTTTATCACAGCTCACGCACTCTGGCAGTGATGACTTCAACTTCAACAGCCAGAGCAGTGTTAACCAGAATAATGTCAACGTTGCGGTGACCACCACCACGATAACGAACACGTACAACAATATCCTCTCGCCCATTGAACCGATTGAACCCATAACCATGGCGAATATTGCTCCATTGACTCTAAACATGAGCGAAAACTCAAGCGTGTCACCTTTGAAGGCATCTTCTCCCAATACAAGTCTGGCGTCGAATACCAGCCTGCCACGGCCGGAGCAATGGCTGACAAACATCGTGGGCTCCTCCAGTCCAAACACCAGCGTCTCATCAACGGCATCTTCAGCGCTGAATCGCCGTTTAACATTTACGTCGCATTCACGCGCCATGTCCCTCGACTCCACATCGATGACGGACCGATTGGCGCGAGAATCCGGCACTGATCCTTTTGATGCCGAGTGGGTGGCGCCCACTGTCCGGCAGGATCCAGCAACGAATCCATTCCTTTCGAGTTCGACGCAACCGCAAACGATGCAGGCGTTTCAAGTGCAGCTTTAATTTATTTCTGTAAAACTTGGAAACATGAACTCAGCACTCCGATCATTCCAATAATTAAGTTCTCACGTTAATATGTACAACGCTATAATGGCAAACAAAACGCACTGCATTCATTCATTTATCCAGCGTACATCTAGTCTGCGCATCGTCGGTGCAGTTTGAAATATGTAACTATCATACGTATTCCAACACAACCAGATGTTCTATTATTATTAAATGAAAAGTGCGAGAAGAGAATGTTAGAAAAACAACACATGCCGTCTAAATGTTAATAAAAAACACACACAGTTAACAAATCAATGCCTGGACTGATCGTGCAATTTTGCAATTTGTTATAGATACAAGCATAGAGGATATTACACGTAATATAAATTAGATAAGATGTGATAGCGATAGGCAATGGGCGCATTGATTCGTTGCTAATAGGCAACTGTTTATTCAGCAATGGCGGAAATATGGCGACACGGAACATGAAATGCATTCGGGAGGAAATTTGCTTCAATGAGTGGAGAGTATACTTATTACTGTATATAACTATTAACTATTAGGGTTGGGGCTGTGTACCATACCGAATTGATGATGATGATGAAGATGAACCAAAAGATGTACGATTTAAATTATGGATTGGTTATTGTTTACAAATGCTGATATGCACATGTGATAGATGTTGCTATACAAAAATGCATTTAGTATTAAGAACGTTACGACGTCTTGCGGTGAAAATTGAGTAATGTGCTCGCTTGAAAATGAAATGAAATGTTGAAGATAAAAGCTCAAAACACACACAAATTTAATTTATTTTCATTGATGCTTTATTTCTTAAAACGCACACTGTCACGGATTATCTTTAAGCAGAATGTGAATTTATTTTATTTCCGTCCGATTATATTTATTTCTTTAATTTATATCTCAAAACACATTTGTAATCAAACTCACACAACAAACAGTCGTACGTTTCGGTTTGATGTTTCCAACAATTAGTAACGAACGACTGCGAATTGAGAAACGAACGAAAGCCATCACGAATGATATACAAACAATGAATCAACATACATATCGATATTGAAATAAGCAAACCTCTTTTAATTAGGCACTTTACTAAAATGACGAACGACAACTAGTTATGGAAATATGAACATAGATGAATTACCAAGTTTAGAGCCACAGCAAGCCTGTAATTTCGTGTTATTTGCAAACTACTATACAAATATAGCAATTTTAATATTATACAGACAAAAAAAAACATGGAGAAACAAACTATTGATATTTAAATAATATTGATGTATGTTATTAACATTGAATAGGATGTAATAATTGCATTATCTATATCCATATGTACCAATAATAATGCATTATTAAATAATACACGATGTAAATGGGCTAGGCACACAGGAAAAGAGAGTTTAACGGTTTTGACAGGCACGAAACATCCAAAGCAATGCAATTGTTCAATGCCGCTTTGAGTTTGAGTTAATTTGTTGATTTCGTGAAAGTGGTTGTGTTATTTCATAACAATAATTGATTGATGTTGATGCCATAGGTACATGAGTCAGTATTATTCCAGTTTGGAATATAAAAGTGGTTTTATTATAATATTTCCATAATTTAAGAGTTGATCTCTTAAGCATGAAGCAAATGTGGAAATGGAAACATGAACTTCAAACTTTATTCATTGTTTTTCAAGGTGTAATTTCTTTGCGCACTGTATCATAGCCTTAAATATTATAAACGCAAGATTAATGACAATGATTTCGTTATGTCTGTTTAAAAATGAAACTGTATAAAGTATTAAACGTGAATATTAAGTTTATAATAATATTTGTAAATAAGTATTTGTATAATTAGTTTATGCAATCGTTACTTTTAGTTTCATTTGAAGTGAGTTTTGATTGAAGCGGATGATGAGAACATTCCGCACTGCCACAACAATGAAAATTGATTCAGGTTGAATGGATCCATGTACTTAACTATTCAATTCTACGTTGTTTTCAATGTCGTTTCGCTCTATTCATAAAGAATAAGAAAAAAAAAACGTGTATTTGCATTTGTAAAAAGGTAACGCAAAGAGCTAATATTGTCGATATCAAGTAAGCGTAGCTTAAATTATTCGATAATGCATAATGTCTGTAGTAAAGAGTACATGCTTTTGTTTGATTAGTACAATAACTAGGGTGTGCTCATTCGGATGCAGATCCGCGAGAAGATGAAAGTAATATATGAACTGTTGCGTTGATGATGTCAGGATCAGTGAGGATGAGGAGAATGTGACGTGAATGAAATTGCAAAAATTGATTAGAAAATGTATTATATATCCTCGTAATTAAATAAGTATTATCTGTTAGAAAATGTGGGAATTATTCTTTAATTATCCTCATGGCAATCAAATTTTTATATTGAGAAGGTTTCAGAAGATAATTTCAGCTTTTATGTAACATTCCTTGCAGAAAATATCTGAAAATCAACCAGATAAGTTTTAAAAGAACCTTAGAACTTTCAGACTGACTTGTCACTTCCCTTGAGGTTATTCTTCAAAAATGTTAAGAAGTTGTTTATTAAAGGGCAAAATGTCTCCAACAAATACATGTAAGTATATTATTTTGTTATTTTTCAAAAATTTCTTATTTTCAGATGAAACTTTCTACAATTTCCTTCTAATTTTGCTGGAATCTGCTTTTTGGTGACAATTACTTAGTTAAAAGTAATACCACTGCTGTTTATAATGTTTTATTTCTTCTTTTTTAGTATAATCAGAAGGTTTTACACATTGTTTCTAAATCTATCCAGAAATTAATGCAACTATCGAAGGAAGAGTGGTGCAATGCATTTCCTACCAGAGCAGCATTGAAAAAGGGAAAAGGAAAACGAAAATCCAGAGTAATTCTACATATACATTTAATCCATACAAATAATAGGGTGAAACATACAATATTCACACAGATGTCTCCAATTATTTATAAAATACTACTCATTTTACTATTTTGCTCCTGCATATTGTAGTAAAACAATGACATAAGTAGCAATCAATTGCACCATCGTAAACATCAACGAATTATCAATAATGAAGAATCCTGCCGCTGAACAAACAACTCTCTGCAACGCAGTTTGTTGTGCAAATTGCGAGACTTCCATCTTCTCTGAAGCATCAAGGCAATAAATATTACATTCGAAGGCTAACAAAGTAGTTTGTTTGCTCAAATTCGTGAGTTTATCACAACGTTTAATAATTACAATTGCTTCCAACTAAAACACATTCAAAATTACTCTGATGACAATGTTTTTAATCAAAACTGATTACAATTATGAATAATACTAACGCACAGATACAGAGAGACTTCCAACCGAAATCAAATTTGGTGGTGGTGAATAAGAACCTCTGCAAGAGTGTCAGCAACATGAACATGACATATAATGCAAACACAAACATATACCATCCGAATAATTCATTGTAAATTGCAACAACTTTATTCACGAGAATATGTAGTTTCTTCCACTGGATGACATCGTGTTGATTATGCTTTGTATTAAAATTTCCAATTTTTTCTAGTTCCAGGAAAACTGATGGTTTTTTATTGTCGATATATTCTTTAAGAAATGCGTTGAGAGTATTTACACGTACACAAAGTTCTTTCAGAATACTCCAGTTGACAGTGTTTATTATAAAAACATATAAATCTAAGATTGCGTGAATAATATGCTGGAGAAAACTCGAAGAATATAGAAAACCAACTATTATGAATAAAATGTTGAACACAACATACACGATTGCAGCTTTAAATTTAATATGATCATTTTTTAGATAAAATGATTTTGATGAAAGCTGTTTATTGTGAATGATGAAATCAATCTCTTCAAATGCAGTAATCATACTGTTAAATTGATGGTGTTGAAAAATGTTGATTCGTAGTATTGTATTTACGATGAGAAACAATCTCATTGATATTGCTGTTGCATCCATTAAAATACTGCTTAATCTTTTTATTCCTTTATAAAGGTCTTCAGCCAGGACTACAGTTAATACAATCCATATTAACGTTGTTATAGTGTTTTGTGCTATTCTGAGCTTTTGGTTATTAAGGTAATATTTAGTTGGAAGGACACCGAAGATTTTCGCGAGTTTAATGAAGCAATCGTCCATGTTTATGACCCGCACATTGAATATGTAGTAAATTTAATTTTTGGAATATATCGGTGAAGAAAATGACAATAAACAAGTAAAATGAATGGTTTAACAATACAACAAAGAATATAATACTAGAATAAGTAAATAAGTACATAGTAAAGATTGTGCACACAATATTATTTATTATGTATTGCCACAACAATGATTTTTTACAAGTATACAATAAATGAATATGATGATTATTGGAATTATTTAATTTATCACTTCAATATGATGACCACTCTAGAATAAGTACATAAATGCTACAAAGGATGGGTAGTTGATGGACTGAAATTGAAAGCAATTGAAGTTCTTTTATTGTCATATGGTGTTTGAAACTCTTAAAATGTATAATAAAATAAATTTTTTAAATTATTTTGTGTCGAAAGACACAGTCGAACTTTTTTCTTAAAATTTTCCGTTGAAACTGTCGATACTAGATTGAGATTATCTCGACAACCAGAAGGGCTACAAAAAGAGAACATCATATTCTTGATCTTTGAAGAATTCTCTACAAGGCTTCATATTTTTTGTACAACGAACAAATTTGAATTAAAAAAATTAAACAAAAGATTTTGTCATAAAAAAGGCAAAACTTTTCAACTTTTTTTATCAATAAATAAAAATTGGAATTTTTCAATTCTGATTTCGGATTCTGAGAGTTTCTTAAATTTTAATTAAAATATTTAAGAGTAATATTGTTCCAACACTAATCGTGTAGGCCCTATTGAGACTTTTAATGTAATTTAAATTGTGACAAAACTTGACACTGTAAGGCTGATTATTATCAAAACAGTTTATTTTAGAACAAAATTTTATTAAGATAAAGTATGTAGAATCACATGTTCTTCAATATTCAGTAATAAAAAATACAAATTTTCAACTTTTATTTTTTACTTTGGAAATGATGGAGAAAATAAATAAACTAGTTTTTCGAACATATATTGAAAACCATTAGAGATACAGAAAAATGGTTTTCATATTCGTATGTAGAATTAAATTTTATGTTATATAACAGGTTAAAATTTTCACTTATTAACACTTATGTAATAATTAAAAATGGTCAATAACTTAAAAACTAATTAAGATAGCGCAACCAAACCAGGACGAATGGATTCCTGGCATTATTTTACATCAGTATGGAAAGTTTGGAGAAAATCTGAGTGGTGGTTGAATTTGTTCAGTTTTGAATTTACCACCCATTTTCCGAAATAATGATGTTATCGGAAAACTGACTAGATATCTTTCATCCCCTTGGAAAACTCTATCGATTGGCGTTTTCCATTTTCTCCTAGCTCAACATTCATTTTTGAGGCCCAAAAATAGTTAAGTGTAACCTCTTGACTCTTCTTAAGTGGTCTTTGGTCAACTTCATAGAATCAAAAAACTAAATCTGCCATTTTATAGATCCTTATCGTGGCATGAAGAAAGTGCAAGAATTTCCTTTCTATCTTTATTACTTTCCGAAGAGATTGCGTCGGAAAATCAATTTTTACTTATTCCAAAGGACAAATTTTAAAGCTTTATCATATGTAGAATTCTGTGCTAAGCACAATGCCGTTATCCGTTTTTGCATATCTTTATTAATTACTGAGATAAACGGTTTTTAAGTGTTGGTGGAAGTTCACGGTTCTTTTAAATGCTTGTAGGTATATGTTGAACGGTAAGTTCTAAAGAGCTACAAGTTTTATTAATAAGTTTATTCAAAGTCCCTTTACACAATGGTATTGTTTTTTTAAATAATTAAAATTACCAAATTAAATGTCAGGCGCCTCCGCCATATTTTGATTAATAATATGTATTTTTTATTAAATGAAGAAAATTAAGATTTTATTATTGATTATGCAAGAGGGAATTGATCTGAATGATTTATTTTAGTACATTATTTTAAAATACAGTGGTAGGTAGTAGTTGCAATGGTTTAGTAAAAATATCGTTTTGGCGATATTGTGAGGGTATAGCGTACAGTAAGTGTTTACTTAACTTTACTTAGCTTACATTATTTTAATTAGACGTTTAGTTTAAAAGATATACGCATAAAACTATTGAATACAATTTTATTAATACCGGCGTCAATAGGGCCTTAATTAATGGTTGTCAAAGAAAAGTTTACTAAAATAAATGATTCATACTGTTATGTTTTATTATAATCCGAAGAAAAAATTTCAAAATACAAAAATTTAATTTTTGACATAAAAAACATTAAACCGTGAAAAGATTTCGTCATAAAAAAGGCAAAACTTTTTCATTTTTTTTATCACAAAATAAAAATTGGATTTTTTATGTTTTGATTTCGGATTCGGGTAGTTTGTTTAATTCTAATTCATTTATTTAAGTACAATTTTTATGTAGCACTTGTCATTTAGGCCTTATTGACAATTTTAAAGAAAATTTTGACTTCGCACAAAAACGAATTTTATTATGGTAATTATTATCAAAACGGTACATTTTAGAACAAAATGTTATTATGATAAAATATTCCAAATCACACTTTCTTCAATATTCTGCAATATAAAAATTTACGAAAAAGTGCGATCCTGTCTTTCAGCAGAAAATAATTTAAGCAAAAAAGTTTGGCCCTGTCTTTCGACACTAAATAATTTTAACTAAAAAGTTTGGCCCTGTTTTTCGATCCAAAAAATTTTAATGAAAAAGTTCGACCCTGTCTTTCGACCCAAAATAATTTTAACAAAAAAGTTCGACCCTGTCTTTCGACACAAAATAATTTTAACTAAAAAGTTCGGCCCTGCTTTTCGACCAAAAACAATAAAAAAATAAATAAATTACGGCCCTGTCTTCCGAAGGAAATTAATTTTAAATATTAATTTGTAGAAAAATAGGCATTTTTGACGAGCTATTTAGGGCCTTTCCAGGAGGTTTGAAGGGTTATAAGAATATGCATCGTTTGAAGCGTGTCTTAGACTATAATATAACGCAAAGAAACTTAACATAAATTAAATAGTTTACAAGATATAGAGTGTTTTTCTCTTCATGTTTCTAACTTTTTATAAATAAACCAATTTTGTGTGGGCATTTTAGTACACTTCTTGAGGATTTCGTGAATTTAAATAAAAGATATACTATTAAGGACATCTTAAACTATAATATGAAAGCAAGAAGCTGAAAGTAAATGAACTTGTTCACGAAATACGGAGTGTTTTTTAAACCATGAATAATATTGATCAAT